TGTTTAAAATGTTATACCGGCTGCTTTAACCACATTAAAGCCCAAATCTTATATCAATATTGTGTTGAACATTTTAATTTTATTTGTCTTACATGACTTGTTCAAATATCTGATTAAAACAGGATCTCCTGGATAAGGCATTAGCCATAAACAATCGCGATTTTGTACTTTTGCACATGCGAGGACGATTTTCCTATTCCATTGCTAGCCTTACCTGGCTTGAACGAAAGGTGAGATTTAATTACTTTTAAAACATTTTGCTATAAATGGTTTGCTCTTTAGGCTGCAACAATACTCTATTCCACTCTACCTCCCGCTAGCATGGAAGATGCATTGAAGGACTTCTTAGCGGCATATGAAGAAAAACCAGAATGGATAGAAAACCTTATTTTTATTATACGCACCTACCAAGCCATGAATGACAAGGTGAGGTTTTTCACAGCGCACAATTTCCTTAAGTGACCATGAATTTTGGAAATTTTAGGAAAACGTCAAGAAATACTGCAACAAACTGTTACTCCTTACGCCAACCAATGAAGATGAACGTGACCGTCTGCATGAGGCTAAGAAATTGCTGGCCAAATGCTGAAAAAGGGTTTTTCATAGACTTTAATGAATTACATATGTGTGTTGAAATTCATTGTAACCGCATCCTTGTGACATAAGATAGGAAGTGCAATTATACTTTTTTTAATGAATTGATTATCTATAAATTGTGCAAAACAGCGAACTTAAGCACCTTTTCAGCTATGTCCTTACACTCACTTTTTCTTCTGTACGTCAACTGAATGTTTGATCTTGACTTTATTTTGATAAAGATTATGCCATACATAATTGTAATGTTTTGAAATTGAAGGTTACAGATTGTGCGGCTACAATAAATTTTGTATCAGCTGCAGTAGTTCACCTGTAATGCACGGCTTACTTTTTTTTTAAATTTAATTTGATTACAATTTTAGCAAACAGTCTTTCTTCGCTTTATAGATAAGTGGTCTTTAAGTCT